TAGGGTAAATAAAATAACTACCACTATTTTTAAAAAGAAGAAGAAAGAAATACCTGAGGTTTTTCATATTCAGAATATATAAAGAACTCTCAAAACTCAATAGTAAATAAAGACATTCACAGAAACAAAGAGTCTGATTAGAAAATAGGAAAAGAACATGAAGATAGAGGATATACATCATGGCAGATTAGCAAGTAAAAAGGTGCTTACCATCACTAGCCTTTAGGAAAAAGTAAATCAAGACCTTGGTGAGATGCCTCTACAGTTCTGTTAAGAATATTAAAGTACAAATATGATAACACCAAACACTAGTGAGAATTCAAAGAAACTGAATCTCTCATATATTGCTGATTGGCTATAAAGTGGTGCGGCCACCTGTATGAAAATATTTAGTGGTTTCTTAAAAGAATTAAATGTACAATTACCCAGTAACCCAGCAGTTACACTTCTGAATATTAATCCAAAGAAATAAAGATTTTATGTTCACACAAAAATTTGTATACAGCAACCTTGGAAGCTGAGGCAGGAGGATTGCAAGTTTCGGCCCAACCTTAGCAGTTTAGGGAGGCTATAGGCAACTTAGTGAGATCCTGTTTCAACATTTAAAAGGAATTTTTTAAAATGGGCTGAAGATGTAGCTTAGTGGGAAAGCATCCCTGAGTTCAATTCCCAGTGTAAAAAAAAAAAATATATATATATATATATATATATATATATGCATGCAATTTGTTCATGGCAGCAGTTTTTAGAATAGCTGAACATGGAAACAACCCAAATGTCCACCAATTGATGACTAGATGAATAAAATGTCCTTTACCCATCCTGTGGAATGTTATTCAGTCATAAAAATGAACAAAGTGGCCAGGCACAGTGGTGCATGCCTGTAAATCCAGTCACTTGGGAACCTGAAACAGGAGGATCACAAGTTCAAGGCCAGCCTGGGAAACTTTCCAGGACCTGGTCTTGAAATAAAAACAAAAAGGATTGGGGATGTAGCTCAGTAATAGAGCACCCTTGGATTTAATACCCAGTACCCTCCCCCACATAAAGGAACAAAGTGTTGATATTTTCTGAGGGATGTACCTCAAAACTATGCCAAAGGAAAGAGGCCATCTCTCTCACAAGTGTGCACAAGCACACACACACACACACACACACACACATACACATTCAAAGCCACATATGGTATGAATCCATTTATAAGAAATGTCCAGAACAGGCAAATTTATTAAGACAGAAAGTAAAGTAATGGTTGTCTGACAGAAAGTAAAGTAATGGTTGTCTGGGGCTAGAAAGAATGACAGTAACTGTTTAATGGATACTAATATTGATGGTTGCACAACTTGTAAGACTACACTAATAACCAGTATAAGTATACTGCACACTTTTTAAATGGGTGGAATTTTTGATATGTGAATTATCTCAAATTTCAAAATTGTATTTGTACTTGTTATATTCCTAAGGTACAATAAAGAACTTGGGACATTCCTCTTGTGTCATACTTCACACAGAAGGGAGTAGTGTTTTTTAAAGTGAACTATCAATTATCTCTAGAGACAGAAAACCAATCAAAATACTTGGCATTTACTTGTCACAGTAAATTTAATTTTTGTGGCACAATAAAATTTACCATTTTAACCATTTGAAGTATATAATTTGGTAAACAAAATTTACCATGTTCACATATTTTTATCTTTCCCTTTAAAATGTACATTGGTTTCTATAAATAGAATTATGGCTTTAGACGCTTTTGGTTTCCAGGTTGGAGGTTAGGGAAGCTTGTGTGAGCTCAGCCTGATTCTGCTCCTTCTTGTGTCTCCTGCTTCCTGAAGCATCCACTTGTCTTTCAGCCTGTGCTTTCTGCCCAAGACTGTCCCCAATGCCTGTGCCATCCTCATCCATGTGTCCTACCTGTTTCCAGATCTTCCTCTCTTTTCTTACTTATCACATGCAACTGACTTTAAGGAGACAGCTGAGAGGGTGAGGGGAAACCATGATCGGCTATGGTGAGAAGTGCAGCTTTTCCCTGTTTGATGGTCAGCAATATTGACCCATTCCACCTTTGCCATCTGGAAGGGAATCTGCCCAGGGAACTGCTGTCAGAGAGCTGTGGCCATTGCAAAGCCTATAAATAGGAGCAGGTGGGGAACCAGATTCTCATCCTGTCTGCTTTGGTTTTCAAACACAGAGGTTAAGAATGACAGAATTCTATCAAATACCTGTAAACATTTTTGTCACAGTTTGAAGTTCCAAATTTTGCTGCATATTCATTATATATTCTATAAATTAAGGAGTATCCCAAGAAATTTATTCTAGCATAATGATGTTACCTTGTTTTTTTTTCTTGTGGTTCTGGGGAGTGAACCCAGGTCCTTTCACATGCTAAGCACACATTCCACCACTAAGCTACACCCCCAGCCTCAAACTATTTTTAATCATATCACAATCATATGGATATTATTTGTATGTCCTTTTTCTCTATTTAAACATTTATTTTAAAAAATTTTTAAATTAAAATGTTTATTAACTTTTTAAAAGACAAATTAAGGTAGTCTGTCCCTATTAGACAGCCTGTTTGCTGTTTAAAAATATTTTAGGTGAGGAGGGTTTGGGGATGGGAAGGATGATTCAATGAGACAGACATTATATACTTGTATGATTGCATTTCCATTGTGACTCTACACCATGTAGAGGACGGAGAAGTTGTGCTCCATTTGTGTACAATGTGTCAAAATGCATTCTACTGTCATATATAATTAATTTGAACAAATTAAAAACTAAAATAATAAAAAAATTTCTAAAAGGGTGCTGGGGATATAGCTTAGTGCTAGAGGACTTGTCTGGCACGTGAACGTGAGGCTCTGGGTTCTATCCCCAGCACTGCAGAAATCAAACCAAAAAATATTTTAAAGGAATGGCTTTTTAAAATATTTTTTTTACTTGATGATAGACCTTTATTTTGTTTATTTATATTTGGTGCTGAGAATAGAACATACCAGGCAAGTGCGCTACCACTGAGCCACAGCCCTAGCCCTAGGAATGGCTTTTATTTATTTATTTATTTTAGTTGTAATTGGACACAATACCTTTATTTTATTTATTTTTATGTGGTGCTGAGGATCGAACCCAACATCTCGTGCATGCTAGACAAGCGCTCTACCACCGAGCCACAGCCCCTAGGAATGGCTTTTTAAAATAATGTTTCTTCTATAATAAAATGAAATCTTATGCAGAAATGAATAGTAAGGGATGAAATGTAGTGAAAAGAACATACACTTTGTGCCAAAGTTTAACTTCTGCACCAAGTTTGTCCTTAGCAGAGGTACATGAATGTTTGAGCTGCCCGAGATGAAGACTCAAGTTCACAAAGCAACAACAGCCACCTGAACCATCTCTACTTTTAAAAAATAGTTAAGAAGCTGATTTTAAGAAATTTTTATTTAACATATACTCTTTCTTATCTAGGAGACTGCATTAAAAATAATAATAATAAGGATCAAATGTCCAAAATTTTAAAAATTAGCCACTTACCTTCTAAATAAGTAAGCAATCAACTCTTCTAAGGCTGTTTGTCATAGAACAGCATTTCTTAAAGCAGATTGCAAGAGATACTATTTGTGATTATACCAAAAAGTGTTTCTTGATTATAAGCTAAAGAATCTTTTGTTTCACAGGACATCACAGGTGTCTTTTTTCAGAGTTTCCCAGGGCCCGCACCCCGGTACTGAGAATTGAACTCAGGGACATTTGACCATGGAGCCACATCCCTAGTCCTATTTTATATTTTATTTAGAGACAGGGTCTCACTGAGTTGCTTAGCGTCTCAGCCTCCCACACCAATTCGTGTCTTCATACATGTACTTTGAATAATAATGTCCATCACATTCCACCATCATTTCTAACCCATGCCCTCTCCCTTCCCCTCTAACCCCTCTGCCCTATAGAGTTCATCTATTCCTCCCATGCTCCCTCTCCTTATCCCTCTATGAATCAGCCTCCTTATATCAAAGAAAACATTCGTCATTTGGTTTTTTGGGATTGGCTAACTTCACTTAGCATTATCTTCTAACTCCATCCATTTACCTGCAAATGCCATGATTTTATTCTCTTTTATTGCTGAGTAAAATTCCATTGTGTATATATGCCACATTTTTTTTTATCCATTCATCTACTAAAGGGCATCTAGGTTGGTTCCACAGTTTAGCTATTGTGAAGTGTGCTGCTATAAACATTGATGTGGCTGGGTCTTTAAAGTATGCTGTTTTTAAGTCCTTTGGGTATAGACTGAGGAGAGGGACAGCTGGGTCAAATGGTGGTCCTTTTTTTTTAGTTGTCGATGGACCTTTATTTATATGTGGTGCTGAGAATCGAACCCTAGGCAAGTGTTCTACCACTGAGCTATAACCCCAGCCCTGGGCCTATAGCATTTTAAAGTTCTGCCAACACCCAGTGGGAACCCATAGCCACACTTCAGGCATCCTCTACACAGCAACCTCACTGAGCAGAGTCTTGCTTTTGTGGAGTGAACGTCACAGGACACTTTTTGAGAAGCTACAAAAATTTAGGGAAATTGATGATGTTTTGGAGTTTCTTGGGTTTTTTGTTGTTTTGTTTTCATTTTGTAATGAAAACAGACGCGTGTATGCTAGGAGTATGCTCTACCATCTACCAATGAAGTATATCCCCAGTCCCTTGTATATATTTTTTTCTATTCTACACAAAGAAGAGAATCTTGCATTCATTTTGTATCATACTTTTTTTGTGTGTGTATGGTATGAGATATTGAAGTTCACACAAGCTAGGCAAATGCTCTAACTTCCACTGAACTACATCTCCCGCCCTTTTTATTTTATTTTGAGACATGATCTTTCTAAGTTGCCTAAACTAACCTCAAACTTTTAATCCTCCTGCCCCAGCCTACCTAACAGCAAAGATTATAGGCTTGCTCCACCGCATTCCATCTAATGACAAATAATTTTAACAGTGTTTTCTTGTCCCAGGACACCAGGGCTCTTCAGTTTGATTGATACCATATGGCCCCCAGCAATACCCCTAAAAGCACCCGGCCATAGTCAGCCCTGTGAAGAGGTAGGTACAACACCAGGGAGCCCTCCATCCTCAGGTTGCTCTGTGCCAGCCACCGAGCCAGGGCTCTCACCATTGCTCCATGACCCCACAGTGGCAACAGGAATCCCTCTGTACCTAGGCCCTTTGTGGTGGTATGTGAATACAAGGTAGGACTAGGATTGGGATTTTCTCTTCTCATTCGGAAGCCCAGTCTATGGCTGCTTTCCCTTCCATGCTATACAATATGCTTCTCAGGTTAATTTATGATGAATTTTTAAACAGCAGTCCTCACACACTGTTATAACAGAGTCTTAGCCTCATTATAAACTAGGCAATATTTTCCCACCCCTTCCAATCACTCATGAAACCAGCACTTAGTTACCAATTTACAGTAGGAATACAATGAAATCTGTAAATATTCCTACAACCATGAGGGTAGCTAGGAATGTCCATTCTTACCCTATCAAATTATTTATGGTAGTAGCTCAAAGGCAGAAAAAATGGGTTAAAAAGTTTCTCCTTCTCTCCTTCCTGGGCCTGTCCAGGAGGCTAGCCTGTGGTTGCTTTGGGTCATAGATGCCTAAGCTGAAAAAGGAAATATGTCTTTGTATAGCTGACTTCAGTGGAGTGCTACATTGATGAACTTGTCCTGTCAGTCCAATAGTAGGTGTCAAAAATGCCCATATATAGATTAACAAGATGTTGAAGAATAGATTTCTAAAATGAAATCTTAAATTGATAATAAATTAAGAAATACAGATGTTCTTATGCTTGGTCCCAAAAGTAAATAATGTAACCCACTTCTTGTATAACCTTCCAGAGAGGGTACACATCTATAAGTAAATATGTATATAAGAAAAAATAGATTGGAATGATGTATTTGAGTGTTTTAATACTTCATTCATGTTCTACCTTTGCCTTCATTTTAAACAGGTCAAAAGTCACTTGCCTCCTCCTTCCTTCTGTTACGTCCTCTCAGTTCATCCCAATCTCGGTCAAATTGATATGATTGAAGGAGACTCCATATCTAAGCTTCACCAGCCTCCAATTCTCCATTGCCTAAGAGATATTCTCCAGGTAACATCTTTGTTTCTAACAAGTTCTTTAGTACTTTTGCCATGGTTGTGTACTTTGGATGATGTTACCAGTCTTTCTCAATGTTTTTCCAGACTGACAATCTGGGTGCCCGCTGCAGTTTCTATGCCAGAGTGATTTATCAAAGACCACAGGTAACATTCTCTCATTCTCCCTGTCTCCCTCTGTCATAAGGATAATCTTTTAGAAATTAATGGAGTGTCAAAATACAAAAGTACATTTAAAATCCAGGTGAACATGATCCAGCTGAAGGGGTAGTACATTCATTCCAGCACAGGTGTGGACTACCAGCTTCTACCATGCTAAGTACTAGGATATTTAAAAAAAAAAACAGGTGTAGCTCTGCCCTTGAAGATTTTAGCCCTATATTATTTGTTAAATTCTGACACGTAGGCAGGTTGAAGAAAGGAAATAGAAGCTGAAATCTCAATTATGTGGTAGAATTGGGAATCTTAAGATTGTGTTCATCCACTCTGGGAACACTTCTGGGACTCTTCTACGGTAGAAGAGTCCTCTTCCCTGTGGTCCCTTTGAGGCCTTGGGAAGTTCTAGGAAGTGGCAATTTAGAGGAGTTTGCTATTGGATCAGCTAGGAGTGGACAAGGTAAAAAGTTGTCCTTGGCAATCTGAATATATGAACTAAGTTCTCCAAGACATCACTCTGGCCTTGGATGGTAAAGGAACCACTCTCAAAGGCTACTCATCTTGTGGGACTCAGAGGTGATCCTATCTGTCAAGCTCTTGTCCACTCATGAGTAATATGCTCCAGTGTGGAAGAGAATGAGAAGAGAATGAGAGGACCCCTATGCACTGCCCCCAGGGTGTGCAAGGGAAGCAGACAGCACCCTGGTGCCATTGCTGCTGCCCCTGCACCTGTGGCCAGGCAGGTTGGAATGCCAGGAAATTGCCTGTGGAAGAAGCTGAAGCCTGGGCAGGTAGCCTGGACTGGGCCAGCCAGGCACCCAACACCACCAAGGACAGAAGTGGCAGAGTGCAGATGTGGCCCCAGGGACAATCTTTTAACAAATCTATACTTGGTTTATAAAGGTTTGACACTCACCACTCTGGCTTTTCTTTTTGTTTTAAAGTATTCCAAAGCAAATGCTGGATCTCATGGCATTTCATGCCTTCACTCCTGATGTGAATCTAGCCAAGAGTGGTGGTGCATGCCCATAATCGCAGCACCTTGGGAGTCTGAGGTAGATGGATCTCAAGTTGAAGGCCAGTCTCAGCAACTTACCAAGACCCCATCTCAAAATTTAGAAATGAAAAGGACTGGGGGTGAGCTCAGTGGTATAGCACCCCCAAGATCAATTTCCAATTCCACAACAATAAAAGTAAAAATAAATCTCTAAGAAACATGTATGCTTTATATATGGCCACAGCTCAGCTGCCTGGTTGGGAGCCTTTCTTTTATACATAAAGTATCTGAAGTTATTTTCTATGGAGTATCTATTTTAAACAATGTTTTTTTCATGTCTCTAATCATCCATAGGTGATAGGCAATGGAAGAGCTATAAGATGACTAAAATAATATATTTCTTAACCTCTAATTAAGTTATCGATGAGTTGCCTATAGAAAAATATCACTAAAATTGTGCTATCATAGTGTGATACTACTTCATCTACTTCAGGAGTGATCATCTACTTCAGGAGTGGGCAGACTGTGCTTATAACAGGCCAGATCATCAATGTTTTAGGTTTCTTGGGTCACATGGTTTCTGTAACAATTAGTCAGCTCAAACTCCCAAACCACTGGGATTACATGTGCGCCCCTGCACCCAGCTAGGGTTAATTCTTGATGTACATTCTGTTGGTTTGCACTGCACATGTGTATACAGACAGGTATGCACCATTATAATATCATTTCAGTACCCCAAAAGTCATCTGTGCTCTATTTATCCCTTCCTCCCCAACCCTTAGCAACCACTAAACTTTTTACTCTTTCCAAAGTTTTGCCTACTCCAGAGTGTTATATAATTAAAATCACAGTGAGTAGCCTTCTTAGACTACTTTTTTTCACTTCATCCTAGGCACTTAAGCTTCTGTCTTTTCATGACTTGATAGCTCATTTCTCATTAATACTGAATAACAGTCCATTGTCTGGAAGTGCCAACATCTATTTATCCATTCAGCTACTGAAGGACATCTTGTTTCTTCCGAGTTTGGGCAATTATAAATAAGACACCTATTTTTAATAAAATTTTAGCAAGAACTTGGTAGTAGCACTGTTTTAAATAATTGGCTAATAGTATCTTTTTATAGAAGATAAAGATAAGAAGATTTCTTGTTACTGACTTTTTTCATACTTCTATAATATAGATAATTTTATACTTAATTAAAAGGTTTGGGTACATTAGTATCTGGAAAGATAGACCTTAGCCCAAATCCCAAGTATTCATAAAGAGTATTTTAAAATCCTTGAAGAATGTCAGAATTCCCACCATTTCTTAACTTTGTAGAAATCTTTACCCTTCCTGATAATATCTACTAATTTTTTAAATTTTGGTTTTGCTAATTGTTTTAAAAATAACCTTTGTAACTCCAGGATCTGATACAGGGTCATGCAGTATGCTCAGGTCATATCTCTTTCATCTTTCTTAGATGGAATACTTATTTATCTTTGCTTATGTTTTGGCTTTTTGTTTTTGTGGTTCTGGGGATTATAACCAGGGGGCTTTGTACATGCAAGCAAGGATTCTACCACTGAGCCACATTGCCAGCCCAACCTTGAGATTTTTCAAAAAATAAAAACCAGTTACTTAGTAGAATGTCCCTTGGTTTAGGTTTATCTGATGCTATCTCTTGAACAGATTAGATTATACATTCTAACATTCTCTACAGAAATACCACATAAAAATACTATGTTCAGGGCTGGGGTTTTGGCTCAGTGATAGAGCGCTTGCCTGGCATGTATGAGGCACTAGGTTTGATCCTTGGCACCACATAAAAATGAAAATAAAGGTATAAAAAAATGTCGTGTCTATTAAAATATATATATATTATGTTCTGCCAGGCACAGTGGCTTATGCCTGTAATCCCAGCAGCTCAGGAGGCTGAGGCAGAAGGATCACAAGTTCAAAGCCAGACTCAGCAATGGCCAGGTGCTATGCAACTCAATGAGACCCTGTCTAAATAAAATACAAAATAGAGCTGGGGATGTGGCTCAGTGGTTGAGGGCCCCTGAATTCAATCCCCAGTACCTCCCCCACAAAAAATACTGTGTTCATATCAAGAGACATATAGTTTATTTGTCCCAGAAAGAATTGTAATGTTTTATCAATTGGTCAAGATGGTGTTTCCATGGTTTTTCACTTTGAAGTTAAAAAATAAATATTTCATGGGGATAAGGAAAGATGGTGGACTAAGATAAACATCATTACCCTAGGTACATGTTATAAAGACATAAATGGTCTGACTCTACTTAGTGTAGTGTTACAGCCAGAGAAATGAAAAATTGTGCTCCACTTGTGTACTGTGAATCAAAATGTATTCTGCTATCATGTAGAACAAATTAGAACAAATTAATTAATTAATTATAAATAAATATTTTACTTATTAATAAGCATTTTGTGGAAAGATACTTTGAGACTATAAATATCTTAATATTATTTCTTGTACATTTATTAGCTGACATTCAGCATTGATTAGGAGCTTTTCATTTTGCTGATTTATTTCTGTAGTCATTTATTTATGTCAGTATAGACTAATGGATTAGTTTTTTATTCAGTAAGTTATAATCTGTTTTGGTTGTTCATTTTGATGCTCAAATTTTACCAGATTTAGGCTGGCTCCTATATCTTTTAGACATGTTTCCATCATTCTTTGAGTCCTCCCTTATTTTTGACACAATATTTCAGAGTCATCTTGACATTTTATGCTTTAGAATCAGCCCTCATTTCAAGGAGCCCTGGTTGATATCAATGGAAAATGGTATTTAGAAGCCAGGGTCTAGGTTCTAGCTACATTTGCTGCTATTGGGATGTTATTGTTTGTAGGTCCTCTCATTGAATAGTGCAAGGAGACATATGTATATATTCATGCACTCATGCACACATGCACACCCACATCCATATCTACTTCTATATTTAGATTTATTTAGAGTTGTGATTTCACACCAACACAACTAACCATAGACCATTACCACAGAATTTACTCCTGTCTTCCCCACTTCTGTATGTATAAATCCCTCTTCAACAGAGAGAAAACTAGCTCCATTGTCCTCAGTATTACTTAATGCAGTTTCCTGTATATAATCAACCTCCCAAACATGCAGACTACCTTCTCCTTCCCAATCCACAGTTCTAGACCACGGAGTTCACCTCTGTTGAGTTCTATTAGCCAACCATGTGTAATTCTCAGCTTCACCTGACAGTCCATGCCAGCAAAATAAGCTGACCCTCAAGCTAGCCATGCCCTCAGGCCCTAGCCCTATTATCTGTCTTTGGTCCATTTGTATCTACTACGTCCTAATCCCTGGCCAATGGGCAGGGGAAGACTGCCAGTTCAATAGAACTTGGAAGGACATTATAACTTTTGCAGATTAGGGGAAAATTTATAATTAAAGTAAAGAAGACAAAAAAATAAGAAAAATAAAAGCTGTTACAGATACAGATATTTATGACACCTACTTTATACCAAGGTCCTGTACAAAAAGTCTGTTGGTGAGTGAGATCTAGTCTTAACCCTCAGGAAACTTGCAGCTACTCTAAGAGAAGAATGTGTATGCTCTAGATAAAAGATAGCATTCTAGGTATACAAACTCAGAACAAGAAAGAATGAACAATAAAATTTACTTGAGTAGGTCAGAAGACAAGTAGAGCACTGCCTGCAAAGTGTGGGTTGTATTCCAACAAAGGAATCCATTAAACAGGTGCACAGTTGGGCACACAGCTATGTTAATGGGGCTAGTGACCCGTGTGCTAAGTCTATAGTATGTTTTTGGGGTTTGGTTTGGTTTGGTTTGGTTGTAAACTGGGGATTGACTCAAAGGGCACTTAATCACTGAGCTACATCCATAATCCTTTTTATTTTATTTTGAGGCAAGATCTCACTAAGTTTCTTGTGCTGACCTCAAATTTGGTTCCTCCTGCCTTGGCCTGCTGAGTCACTGTGATTATAGACATGTGCCATCATGGCCAAACTCCTGTTGGGTATTTTAAAGTATTTTGAAATAATAACTTGTTAGTGATAATGATTATTAAGATTGTTGCTTTTAAAAATTAATTTTGGATATAAGAATAGTTAATAGTCTTTACTTTGAACTTGTAGCTGAAGAGTCTGCTTCTTTTGGCACAAAAGGAGATTTGGCTGTTGGTGACTGACATCACCCTGCAAATGAAGGATGGGAATGACCACCACCTCCCCAAAATCTTGCCAGTTTGTGTGACCCCCTCATGTGTCCTGGGTCCAGAAATCCTAGAAGCACTCTCCACGGCTGCACCTCATAGCATCCTCTTCAGGGATGCTCTCCGAGACCAGGGTGTGCTTGCATCTTCTCCACAGTCTTGACTGGGGTGACTGATCAGTGTCCATATGATGTCTCCTATGGCTTCCAAATGCATCTTGCTCAGCACTGCTGGCACCATCACATAGCCCAAGACAGACATGACCTGTGCCCTGCAGAGGCCCATGTTACCAGTTTAGGCTTTTGCTGAGCCCTGTTCATGGCTATCTGCACAGTACTCCAAGGTTCTAGTGTACCCTTTAGCGATCCCATCAGTCACTTCATGATTGTCTTTAGTGGTGTAGAAGCCATCTGAAGTCATGATTTGGGTGATTACTTTTTAAAACAAACCAAAAACTAGAACATTAGAAATATATATACTTTTTAGTCCCTTTTACCTAGGTGTCAAAACTAAAATCCCGCCTAAACTGTATTTTTTTACATAGTAAACTTAATGTATCACAAAATTTACTCTTTTCAAAATGAAGTTGAATTTAGTATTTGCATGCTTTTCCAGCTTAGCTCACTGGAGGCCACTTCTATATGTATAAAATCTCTCCAAAAGAAAGAAAACTGGCTCCATTTTCCTCAGAAGTATGTAGTACAGCTTCCTGTATATAATCAGCCTCCCAACTATGACCTGGCATTAGGAACAGACCGTCCCCACAATTGCACCCTTATACTTGCATCACTTTGGGAGGATGGAAAGGAGACTATCTTTACTGGCAGGAGAATTCACATTTTTCTTCAACACTTCAATAATCTGAAGTATCTTTGTTGGCAGGTCAGATTGTCTGTGTTGAACGGACTGTCCTGTTGCTTCAAAAACCCTTTTGGTGTATGGCCTCTGGCACTGGCTCCTGTGAGCTGACTGGCCCAGTGATACTGGATGAACTAGACTCCCTCACACCTGTTAATTCCATTTGCAGCGTGCAAGGTGGGCAGCCTTCTCATTGTCTTAAATATTGTATTATTTTGTATTCATTTACTTGTTTGTTTAACAAGTTTTTGTTGAGTGCCTACTTGGAATGTACAAAAAATAAAAAGAGCTTCTTGACTCTCAGACCAAACAAACCTAAGACTGCAGAATTTCAAGTGCTCCATTTTCCAGTAATTAGGCCCTCACCTTGTTGGGGAAGTCAGGAAGCTCCCTAAAGACAAGAGGCTTGAACTGAGATCTGAAGAGTGGGTGGGACAAATTATGTCAGGGGAAGAAGCAAGGAACAGGACTTATGAATAAAGGCAATGGACAGGAGAGACCTGGTAAGCCAGGGATACCGTAGAGCAGGCAGGATAGGCAACTGGATGAAGGAACTAAGAGGATACTAGATGACCCAATCAAAAGTATACTCTGTTCAGGCATGGTGGTACACACCTGGAATCCTAGCAGCTTAGGAGGCTGAGGTAGGAGGATCAAGAGTTCAAAGCCAGCCTCCGCAATCATGTACAATCAGAGAAATGAAAAGTTGTGCTGCAATTGTGTATAATGAATCAAAATGCATTCTGCTGTCATATATACATAGTTAAAATAAATAATTTAAAAAAAAAAACAGCCTCAGCAACTTAGTGAGGCCTTAAGCAACTCAGTGCAACCCTGTCTCCAAATAAAATATAAAAAGGGCTGGGAATCTGGTTCAGTGGTAAAGTACCCCTTGGTTCATTCCCTGACACCAAAAAAAAAGTATGCTCTGTCATCCATAGAGAAAATACATGGTCTAACATCCATTCCTACAGAGCAGATGGAGGGACCAGGATGACAGTTGTGGCAGCAATATAAAAGTAAACCCAGGAATGGGTTTAATTAGGAAAATTGGTAAGTTAAGTGATGAATCGGACCATAGGATAGAGGACATATATAGAGGAAGAGGATTATGCAGCTACATCCAAGCTTTAGGCTTGGATGAGGAAGTAAACGTAGTGCTATAAATTGCCAAAGCAGGACACATGTGTAAGGCAACTTTGAAGGGAACCATCTCATTATGTCTGGAGAGTTTGGGTGATTTCATTACATCTGAGATGTTTCAAAGCTGGTTGGATATATGGGTCTGGAGCTGAAAACAGCATTAAAAATGCTTTCTTTTTTAACTTTTTAAAAATTATTTAATAGTGAAAGTAATACATACTTATTGAAACCAGTGAAAGCTGAACCCAGAAGAAGGTAGCAACCTCCTGGCAGGTACTCCCTGTGCACCACACATGGAGTACATGACTCCTGGCTTTAGAGGGAGAAGTTTTGTTGTGCAGATTGGGTTGGTTTGCTACATATTATTCTGTAACTTGCTTTCCTCACTTAATATTCTAGCCAGAATGTCTGCCCAAGGAAATAGAGATCCAATATAAGAGTTTCACAGTCGCATATTAGTCCCTCATGAAAAAACTGTTCCTCGAATGATGGATAGCCAGAATTTTCCTGTGCTTTTGCAATTACAAACAAGGCGTGATAAACATTCTGGACATCATCCCCTACTGATTGTATACTATTGTCCTACTATCATATACTATTGTATAGTATTGTCCTACTATAAAGGAGGATTTCAGGAATTTATATTTCAAGTATTTTTTGGTACTAGAGCCTGAATCCAGGGGTACTCTACCACTGAGCTATATCCCCAACCCTTTTTATTTTTTATTTTGAGACAGTGTTGCTAAAGCTGGCTTGAACTTGCAATCCTCCTGCCTCAGCCACACTCCAATGGTTCATGTGTTTTTAAACACTTTATTGAGATATAGATTCAATTTATATTTATAATTCATTCATTTAATGTGTTTTTAGCCAGGTACAGTGGCTCATGCCTATAATCCCATCAACCCAGGAGACTGAGGTAGGAGGGTCACAAATCTGAGGCCAACCTCAGCAATATAGCAAGACCTTGTCTCAAAAAATATATCTATTAAGTATTTTAGTGAATTCACATAATTGTGCAACCATTACTACAGTCTTAACTTTGAAACAAAAAGAAACCCTGTACCTATCATCAGTCACTCCCATTCCCCCATCACACCCTGGTCTCAGGAAACCACCAGTCTACATTATGCCCCTCTGAGTTTGCTTGTCCTCAACCTGTCATATAAGTGGAATCATATGATATGTGGTTTTTCTTGATTGGCATCTTTAACTTAGCATAATGTTTGCAAGATTTATCCACAGTGTAACATCAATTTTTTTTTCCTTTTATGGAAGAATAATATTTCATTGTACAGCTATGCCATCAGTTGGTGAACAGTTGGGTTATTTCCACTTTTTTGACTATCATGAATAGAAATGCTATGAATATTCATGGAGAATTTGTTTGAATTTGGCTATGTATCCAAGAATGGGATTGTTAAGTCATGTGGTAGCAAGACCTTGTCTCAAAAAATACTATTAAGTATTTTAGTGTGTTTGCATAATTGTGCAACCATTACTACAGTCTAACTTTCAAACAAAAAGAAACCCTGCACCTTTAACCTTTTTGAAGAGTCTCAGTATGTTTTCCAAAGTGACTGCACTATGAGTTTATGTATTTTTGTTCTTTTATTTATTATTTTTAAGTAGTAGAGATTGAACCCAGGGCCTCAAGCACTGAACTGCTATACCCCCAGCTCTTTTTATTTTATTTTGAGAGAAAGCCTCACTGTATTGCCCAAGCTGGCCTGGGACTTGCTATTCTCCTATCAGCGTCCTGAATAGCTCAGATTAAAGGTATGTGGCCACCACACCCAATGTCTATGCAATTATTGCTAAACTGTTTTCAAGAAAGTATATAAAAAGTCAAATTTCCAAAAGAAACCTTCTAGAAGGCCTGTTTTTCTCTACCCTTACCTGCCACTAGTTTCTGATCCTTTTTATGAACAACAGCAAAAAGGCTGTGATCCCTGTATGTATTGCTTTAAATCATGTGATTTTTATGAGATTGAGCACTTGTTCATGGTCAAAGCCCTGTGGGATTTTTTTTTTCTGTGAATCTCTTTTTAGGTCTAGTGCTTGAACACAACTAGGGTTGTGAAGAGAGGTTGTGAGCACAGTGGAATATAGAGGTTCTATAGACAACTGACTCTACTTTAAGACCTCCATTTTCTCATCTATAAAATAGGGATATGAGAATTAGTCTCAAAGCATTGTTGAGGATTAAATGAGATAATGCATGAAAGGCAAGGAGCACTCAGTCTAGTAGAGAAAATAATAGATAACGCTACCAGGAACCATAAAGGGAGAGAGAGGATGGCTGACTAAAGTCAAGCCAGTAATCAGAGGTGTACTTGAGTTATCAGGATTTCTCAGGCAGTCTGTTCAGGCTGGCTAGGCCGTTCAGAGGGCATATGGTAAATCCACAGAGGTACTAGGTGCCATTGTAAAACCTCCAAGTCCTAGGGGAAAGGCAAGATTGAAAGGGGAGGCCAGGGTGGGATTGGGTTGGTTCTGTCTTATTCTGCTTTCCCTGGTTCATACTGATCAGATTTTTAAATGATGCTGTTCTTCAACCTCATACATCAGTGATGGTACAAAACAGATAATATCAGCAGGAAGAGGTAGGGAAGGCAAGGGGTTTGGGTGGCTCAATAGACTATAGTGGCATCTGGAAGCCCCACCATGAAACTACTTCTTGATGTACAGCTGCTCAGTTCTCCCTATTGAACAGGCTATGGGGGACAGACTGCAAAGTGTACACAACTACAGCTTCATGCCCCTGAGCAAACAGGCTTTTGGAGACAGAGTGTACCATGAAGATGGACACAGACTGGGTCTCATGAGTGGACAGGCTATAAAGACCAAGCACATTGTACAGAGTGGCATGGCCTGGGTTCCCTGAGCCAACAAGCTATGAGGAGAAATCCACAGTGCAGACATGTGCCTGTCCTATCTCCCTCTCCCATCCCCCATCCCTCTTGTCCCCTCTCCCAGGTTCCCTTAGGTGCTGTTGCTCATGGCCCACAGCCATTTCTCAAACTTGGGGTCTCCAGTCACCTCTATGAGTACTTTTCCCTTCCACTTTCATTCTCATTGGTTGCATTATCCTCCCTCTCCACTCTCTTTTACCTCTCCCAGAGGTCAGGACTCATCCAGAGCTTAAAGGAGGGATGGGGCTGGGACTTTGGCTCGGTGGTAGCGCACTTGCCTGACATGCGTGAGGCACTGGGTTCGATTCTCAGCACCACATATAAATAAATAAAATAAAAGATCTATCAACAACTAAAAAAAAATATTTTAAAAAAGAGCTTAAAGGAGGGAAAAGGATGGCAGAACACCCCCCCAACCCCCACCCTTGTATAATTCTCTGCCCTGTGCCAGAAAGTCACTGCAGTGCCCCACACCAGTTCTTATTCTGTGAGCATAAGAGTCACCACCACCTATTGCACTGTTTTATGAGACAACAAAAGCACTGTTGGCTAAAGGAGGGCTTACAATTTAACTCATTTCTAACTGCATCCAGTGAGTGCCACAGAAATGCAAGAAAGAGTCAGGCTACCCATTCCCACACCTGCAGCAGTAGGGTTAGCTATTGGCAACTGAAGGAACTGTGTTTTGTTTTGTTTTGTTTTGTTTTGTTTTGTTTTGTTTTGTTTTGTTCTTGGAGCTTTAAATTGACTTTCATTTGCAACCTGACTTTTCTGAATTCTCAAAAATGATATTAAATCACTGGAGTTATCCTTTTCCTCTGTAATCTCCTTCTTGATATCTGTCTCTCTGCTCTAACTTTGCGTGGTTGCTCTACTTTCAGCTATTGTCTTGGTACCCCAGGAATTAATGCTTTAGGTTTGTTCAAACTATAGGTTTCTGTAGATGTTCCTCACCAAGTTGAAGAAACTAAACTCCTTTTTTCTTAGTTTGCTAAGAGTTTTTATCTTGATTAAATGTTGGGTTTTTTTCAAATGACCTTTTTATATCTTAATCTGATCATATAATTTCTCTTCTTTAGCCTGTTGATAGTAATGAGTTACACACTGATCTTTGAATGG